AGCAGACGACACAGTGTTTCGGCACAAATTAAATGGACACACCAACGTCTAGGCTGAAACCCGACCGAGCATATAACATAATCCTAGTGCGTGACTCTCCCAAGAGACCTAATTACGCTTTTATAATGGATAGTGTAACGGTCAAGTAGTGTCAGAGTTGAGTGATTCCGTGTGATTAAAGTGACCACGGTTTTCAGACTGACAAAACATGAGAATAGGCAACGCACCAATCCCAATTCACACAGTCGGGGTCTCCGTGTCACATACACCACCTGGTTATAGTCTGCAGCTAATCAGAATTTTAACACATAACTGCGTTTTCTGTCAGGCTGCTGGTAGACATCGCCTAACTCGAAGATCTTGACGTCTAAAGTTCAGAGAAAACGTCTATTCTTAACGTACGATGTTAACATTAACATTAAAGAAAGGATCACACACGCTTTGGTATTTTTAGACTGGTGATATATTTTTAGAAGAAGCAAGTCCAATTTCCTGGGTAAGTCAAAGAGTTGTTTAACGCTCTTTGCCTAATCTAATTCCTACATTTTTCCCGTTAAGTACAAGGTAGCCGTCTTCTGTATTAAATTTCTCAGTTATTTGCAAACTGTCAGTATCAAGCATGATTACGGGGGCTTTGATGTTTAAACAGAGGTTCGCTTGTATATTTAGGGTGTCAAGCAATAGCTACATAAAAGGCTCCCGAACGAGTTAAACCTTAGAACTGGGAGTAATTTCTCCAGTAAAATAAGAGACTACACCACTCAATTTTTGAAAGGGGCCAATTCTTTAAACTAAAAATTCTGTCTTGCTTACTACCAGAGGAGGGCGGATGTGCATGATATTCTTCCTCCCAGAAAACTTCAAGATCTCTGGTTGCGCTCAAAATATGAGTCGGCAGACTGCATATACTAAAAGCCCGCTCCGGGGTACCGTGGTCCAGTTAGGCAGTAGTAATTGTAAGTCATGTTAACTTCAACTGTCACATGCAGTAGGTTGACTGCGAAACT